AATATCGTATCACCTGTAAAAAAAAAAAAAAAAAAAAAAAAAAAAAAAAAAAAAAAAAAAAGAGAAGAGGGGAGGAAATGAGAAACATATCAAACAGTTCCATAATTAACACAGTGCTCTCTTCCCTTTGTGGTTGCTGGAGTAGACACTACTTTAGAGCATGAAATCCACCTCAGCTCCAGATCTGAGAGCCTGTCTGAGAGACAGTTTGGCCCTTAATCTTTATGCAGTCTTTAGTAAACTAATGCATCTACATTTTCCTGTATGGATAACCTCATCTGAAAACTCCATAGGTTTACTTGGTAGCCCTTTGCTGCAAACATTATCCACAAAAGTCTGGGGTGAGGTAGGTGACTGTATTTGTAACATCTCTTACTGTGAGACTTCCCATTATACTATATACTGTTACTGGAAGAGAATGCAGCTTGACAGAGAGCAGAAAACCTAGAAGAAGCAGGACAGTGTTCTCTGATTCAAATATCTACATGCAAACTGAACCTAGTTAAAATTCGTAAAGCCTTTTGAGGTAATACACAAAAAAGCTGTTGCATATGCAACCTAATATACTGGAAGAGATGCTTCCAGAAAGAAATTTGTGTTATGTTGAAACACACATCCCTTTTCTGCAAATCAATCTTACTATTGTAGAAATGTATTATTCCTCTTTCTTGCTTTTTTTCTTCCGTCTGCTTCTCATGATTGCAATGAGCAGCTCAATTAGATATATGTGTGCTACTTGTTTTCTACATACACACAGTGTTTCCAAAAGGATGCCTGAGATTTGACCCTGGGGACTTAAGTTTGATGTGTAATTATCCCAGGAAATCTAAATCCTGAATATTAGTCATGGATGGAAGCAAAACTGCACTGTCTGTAATAAACCGTAACACTGCTGTTCATTTCATTAATTGCAAGATGTTGACTCATATTTTAATAAGAAATCATCTGTCCAATGTATTGTTGCTGTGCAGTTCTAGCTGATGCTCCCCATTTTTAACAACTAAATTTCTGTGGGTTTGCAGCAATTTAAGCAGCAGGAAACCCAGGGATTCTGACACAGCAAGGCAACTGGTGTCTGTCTCATTCTAGTTTTAATGCTGATGAATTGCTGTCCTCTAATTTGCTGAATTAAATTACCTGATGAAAGGTAAAGTCTCATTTTTGCTGTACACCTGAACACAGTGAGAGCTGTAGTCCCTTGGGGTTTAATAAGGGCATCCTCTGAAATGAAAGCTGGAGGGCTGCTCCTTTCCATTAGAACAACTCTTTCTTACACTAATCAACCATGGATGAGAACACATGAAGCCTGGATATCACAAGTATCTTTATCAAGATGCTGGAGAAATATAAGTTTATAAAAATCAGGACTGGAAAAGCTAGGGGTATTATGAGAAACTGGAGGAGGCAGATAGCCACAGCTTTCATAGTCTAGGGAGGAAGCACCTTGCTGCTCATAATTGTACACTTAGATGTGTATTAAAGAATGAAAACTGCAGAATGGAGGCAGAGCCTGACTCAAAACTTCTTGCTGACACAGGTGCTGTAGCCCACCCTCCACTTTTGTAGCCACGGGGTGTGTGACTGCCGATTATACCACTACTATTTTCCTGCAAGTAGTTCAGGAAAAGGTATGGACCAGATTGCTTTTACTTCTTGACTTCCCTGCTGTGTATAATCACTGCAGTTTGTTCCTGGGCTAAAACATGTAATTTGGGGTTTGTTATGCTTCCTCAGGTTTTCTGAGACTTAAATGGGATTTTGACAGTGATGAGACCCTTTCTGTGCTTTCTGCATGGACATTTCTTCTCTAAAAATACACAAACGCATATTGTGAGAGAGAAAGAGAGAGAGAGTACTCACCTAGTTCGGGTGCTTTGCTTAGCACAAATGCATATGCCCAGAATTTGCTGACAGGTCCAATGTAAAAACTCTGGTCACACACTGACTGTTTCAGGCCTTTGGTCATCAAAATGTACAGCATATAAGCACCAGTTCGAACAGCACCGAATATACTATAAAACAAAAAGAGAAAATTAGGAAAGGTCAGTGGACATTTGAAATCTACATGCCATCACTTCAAATCATTATGAGGCAAAGGCCATAACTGTGCTGAAATAATAAGTTTGAGAGCCTGAAAGTTGAAGAAACTCTGCTGGCTTCTAGGAAGTTGCTCTGAACTCAGACCTGTAAACTGGACTGCAGCCACATCCCCTGGTGAAAATCTGGAATGGTAACATCAGTGTTTTTTATTTCATTACCACAGGAATGATCCTTCAGTTTTCAGGAGCAGGGAAACATTCTATTTCAGCTCAAAACAACATGCAGAGTTTTGATGCTGATGGCCGGGAAACAACAAGAAATGAGTTGATAAAATGCTGTATTAGCTATCTAATCAGGACCAATTCACTTTTCTGGCTTCCTCAGTTTTCTCTCATCGCTCCTTGTACTTGTTACATCCACAGGAGCTCTGAGCACAGCCATACCCAGGTAGGGCACATAGATTTTGATGAGGAATCTCAGTCAGAGACAGTGTTTTGGTGCACATGCTTGACTTCATCCCTTAACAGGTCATTGCTCACAGAGGAAACGGGTATTTAAATCAAGCTGTAAACAGCAGATTCACCTTCACCTCATCAAAGTGAGATGAAAGGTAACAACGTTCTGTAAATGAGAAACTTCAACAGATTTGTAACAGCATTAATTACTGCAATTACAGAGGAGATAGGTTGACATCCAGCTCACATCAGGAACAAAGGCTTCTGTCTCACCAGCAAGGAGTTCTGCAGAAGGAGTTTTGTCTCATTGTTTTATGTCAAGAACATGCCTGCCCACTGTCTACTACTGTAGCTTGGTGTTGTGATGAATACTGGGTGAAGGAAGTAGCTTTCAAAAAGAAATAGAGCAGAGATAGACACAATCTATTTTGGGGTTGAGTATATCTTATTTTATGCCTACATCATATGTCCTCATCCCTCCACCCAGCTCCATCTTACCTCTCCTCTAATTTCTTTGTGACCTTGACCCAACTCCACCTCACTGTGTTTCGTGACTATTACATGGCAGAGGCAAAACAAGCCACATAAAACTGGTGTATAAACACCTGTGTGCAATGCAAGCTACCATTTATGCAAAGTGTGTGAAAGAAGGAATAGTTCCTCTGAAACTGTAGATTCTCTGTTACTTGCCCTTGTCTTGTGAAGTCAGTATTGTGAAAAAACCATGTTTTAAAATCATCAAGGCAGCCTCAAAAGCAGAGCTTGATGGCAAGTTTTATGGTTCTTGGTCAAAATAGAGCCTGCTGCACATCAGAACTACTTACCCAACTTACATATAGTATGCAGAGTATTCAGATTTCCAAATCTTCAGCATTGCTACACCCAGTCAAATCTGCCTGCTGCTTAGGAACAATGCAGCTTGTTCTCCCCTGTCCATTGCATGGAATCTGCAGCCTGGTGGAGTGCCACAGTACCTGCTGCTCTTTGGGCTGTCAGCAGCATCACAGATGGGGCTCTACAGCCAGTGCTGCATTCTGGCTCCTGCACCATTACCTTCTGAAGCCTGAGGCTTCACTGGCCACCAGGAAATTCAGACTACTGTGAACACTTACAAAGCTACTATTATTATCTGTTGTTTGCACAGTGGTATTTGCTCATTGGCTCCACTGGCAGAGGAGTCCTCTTGTGCTATGTGCAAGTAAAAATCCACCCTGCTGTGGTTTTCAGGTATGTAGAAGTTTAGCTGAGTCAGTGTTTGCCATCAGCATTGCCCAAAAAAACACACATATTCCCAGGCTTAGGCAAGAGAGCCACTGCAGTCTCTCATGTTCACCCACCCCTGCATGCAAAGGAGACAGTGCAGTGCTTCATCATCTACACAGCTCTCCATGTAGGGCTGTTTCCTCTCAAAAATACTCTCAGCACACTTTACTCAAATCTTTCAGGCATCAGTCATTTTAACTCAGCAGAGAGTGCCAAAACCTGCAGGAGGAGTTTTGAAATGAGGCGCAACTCCAACTCATTCTGTATCTTCTCTTTGGTTAGGTGTATAAAACATGCCACCCACCCCACCCCCCCCCCTTTTTTTTTTTTTCATCCCATCCCATCCCATCCCATCCCATCCCATCCCATCCCATCCCATCCCATCCCATCCCATCCCATCCCCCCCCCCCCCCCCCCCTTTTTTTTTTTTAAGGAGCTTCATTTCTCATTCCCAAGGAGACAGGAGATCCTGACAGAGATGTGATCTGATCACTTCCTGAGGCAGTGAACTCCTCAGGCTAGCCAGGGCATGCTGCTGCCTGCTCCTATGTTTTGGGTGGTTGCAAAACTGGGTGGAGGAAGATCAGGCAGAATACCTAATGATACACTAGTTTCTCCCATTAGCAAGTATCTCAGCTGACATTAAAATGGGGGGAGAAAAGGAAATTTTAAATAATGAAATCAAATGGCTGCAAGCAATATGTCTTTCTCTATAAAGAAGCTGTATTGCTTTTCTAAAAAATTGTTTGGTACTAGAGTTTTGAAATCAAAGAGAATTCTGCGCCATGAACAAAATTGCAAATGAGAAGAGCACTTGTTTGAGCAATAGGCGAACAATGATCCAACTGTGATGGGTTATGGACACCCAGAGATCTAACCTAGACTGATAACAGAGCCACAGAGTCTGTGCCTAGGGGTGATTACAGTGTCCCTTTGCTGTCTTTGAGATAATATTGATGTAATTCTGCCTGTCTTTTCATTTAGCAGCTACTGCAGAGCTTTCCTTGGAGCACACACACACTGATTCACACTCACACTTTTCTACAATTCCACAGGATGGTGGCTTCCCTTAGTTCCATGACTCTAGAAGTGACCCCAATTACAGCTCTACATGGTGTGAGTCAGACTAATCTGTACTTTTTATCTCAGTAGAAACCAAGTTACATTTTCACATAATTCACCAAGGAAGGCTTTATGCAAAACAAGGATAGCAAACTCCAAGTAACTGCTTCAATTACCTAAATAGACACCATGAGCAGGTAGAAGCTTATGAGAAGTGCTGCATGCCAAAACACTGCCTTGCCAACAAGCATGCGCCACCCGAGCATGAAAAAGATCTGATGCATGCCTGTAAATATGTCTTGGAGCCAGAGAACTAAGGCTGCTTTCTGTGCCTCTGCTACTTTATTTTGTTTGTTCTGTAAGGTAAAATCAACCAACAAATTTCTATCTTGCAAAGACATGATGTGCAGCAGAATGATGACATTGCTTACTCAGTAAATCACTTCTGCTTCATTTTGTCCTCGCCCTACTCTCTGCTGGTGCTTTTGTGAGGTCTTGAAATGAACTGCTTACCAAAGCAGTCTGTCTGGTGGGAATCATCTGCAGGGATTTTCAAAATAAGGTAGCAGTGAATTACTGTACAATTACAATCTGTTACAACTAGAGAGACTGATCAGAAACTGCATCATCTAATGCAGCTTTCTTACCTATTCAGGCTCAAAATGTCCTACATTCTACACTACCCTTCAGATACTACTAGTGACTTCTCTGGTAAGTAAAAAAATGCCCAATTGATATTTTACTGCCCATAGTATTATCAAAATATATCCATGAGTAAAATACAAACGAATATTTTTCCTCTCAAACTTGTTTTCAAACAGGGGTTGGTAGGTTGACCCTGTCTGCATGTCAGGTGCCCACAAAAGCTGCTCTATCAATTCCCTCAACAACTGGGAGAGAAAATATATTGAAAGACTCCTGGGCTAGGATAAAGGCACAGAGAGGTCATTTACCAGTTACCATCAAGGGCAAAACAGAGTCAGCTTGAGGAAATGAGTTTATCCCCAATCAAGTTAGGGAAGCATAATGTGAAATAAAAGCTAAACTTTTACCTTTTATTTTAAAAGGGTCTTAAAAACACCCCCCATCTTCTCTTCTTCCTGGGTTTAGCTTTACTCCTGAATTCTCTACCTCCCTTTCCCCAGTGGTGAGGCCCAGCTGGAAAATAGAAAAGGTATTAATTCTGCCCTGACCTGCTTACATGGTGACTCACAGGAGTTCTGGCAGGTAAGTCTGTGCCCTGGAAGCACAAAGCTAAGACAAAAAGTACAACATCCTCCTTTGTGAAAGCCACATTGAGCAGACAGTGGTCCTGGGAAAGCAGCTGAGATGACCACACTGACTGCAGCCTGCTTGTACCGTAACAGCAAGAAAAGTGGGGAAGCAGGTAATTTAGGTGTTTGTTGACTCTTGGGTTTTTTTGGTTTTGTGGGGTTTTTTTGTTTGTTTGTTTGGGCTTTTGTTTGTTTGTTTGTTTTTTAATTTTAGCATGTGAAATATTTACAGAGGGAGCACTCTGAAATGTCTAAAGTGCAGCAGGTGAAGAATGCGGGGCTTCCTACACCTTCCTTCATGACAAATCAAACCACGTTCACCTTCCTGTTCTGGTCAGCAGCAGTACTTTGGCTTCCAAGCTTCCCTTCTGCTGCTGAAGAGTTATCTCATAACATAATAAAATGGCCTTTCTGTGCCTTTCTGATTTAAATCCCACAGTCCACAGGAAAGAGGAAGGAGTTGCACTGCTTCAGCACAGGAGCATGGGAAGTACAACCCCTCAGTCTGTCAGTTCCAAGCAGCCAGACAGTCCTGAGAGCACACCTAGAGACAGCAGTATCTGTAAAAAGGGGCAGCAGAGCTCTTCTGTGCTTAGCCATGCAACAGAACACACACAAACTATGAATGGATACTGGGAACATGCAGGGAGGAAGCATGTACCAGAAACAACTCAGAACTAATTTTCTTGCAAAGAAATGCAGCTTCATCAAACACTGCTGAACTCCCCAACAGGACAGTAGTCAAAAGAGTAAAGAAACCCAGGAACTCCTGGTATTACCAAGCACCATGTACCAAGGTGGGTGCACCTCCATGTCAAAGAACACATCATTCAGTCATTCCCTTGCCGTGCTTTTTAACTAATTCCTAAAAATAAGTTTGTAACAAACCAATTTTTCAATATGAGTGGTAGGTTTGTT